GACGAGGATGATGATGAGGAGGAGGAGGAGGAGGAGGAGGAAGAAGAAGAGGAGGAGGTGGAGGAGGAGGAGGAGGAAGAGGAGGAGGAGGAGGAGGAAGGGGGGGGGCAGTGGGAGGCGGAGGGGGGGCAGATGGAGGAGTAAGTTAGCAGCGAGGGGGGGAAGCTCGCCCCCCCGCACGGGGAAGGAAGAATGGCCCCCCCCACCCGCGACGATCATGACCACGATGGCGGCCACGGCGGCCACGTCCACGGCGACGCGCCGCCAGTGGCCACGGCGACGGCCGCTCGAGATCAATCCCCGGACCTCCCGTGCATGGACAATGAGTTTGAACCTTGCGGCACAAGAGGCCCTCCCCGGGACCCCCCAGATTAATATTGAGGGAGCGGCACTGGAGAGGGCCTGCTGGGTGAACAGAAGCGTTCGAACCCGCAAACCATCACCCATGCTAAAATCAACATTGGTTTTGGGGGCTGGGGGGGTGAGGAAGGGCTCGAATATGTTGTCCATGTACTGTCTCCCAGGATCATCTGGACATATGATGTTCCAACCTACTTTAGCCTTGACCACCAGAAAGAATTTCGAGCACCAGAAAAGGAGACACTCGCCCGACACTGTTTCGACACTTTTTCGACACTTTTCCGGGTGCTCGAAATTATTTCTGAGATGTGGTCCTTAATACGATGAGGGCCACACAGATCTGGACCTGGCTTTTGCTCGAGTCGGCTCCGGCCGCGGCGACGTGGCCACGGCGACGGCCACGGACACGACGGCGGCCACGGCCACGACGACGACGACGACGACGACGACGACGACGACGACTTACGACGACGACTTACGACGACGACTTACGACGACGACTTACGACGGCGACTTACGACGGCGACGGACGACGACGGCGACGACGACGACGACGACGACGCCGACGGCGGCGGCGGCCACGGCGGCCACGGCCGCGGCGACGGCGGCGCGCCGCCCAGTGGCTCTGCCGCCTGCACGACCTGCAGCTGCTGTCTGCCCCCCCGGCCGGCGCTCCGCGGAGCGGCGGGGCGCCGGCGCCCCCGACGCCCGGCCGTTCCACCGGGACGCCGCCGAGCCAGGCGCGCGGCAGGGGGGTCGTCGTCGTAAGTCGTCGTCGTCGTCGTCGGCGTCGGCGTCGGCGTCGGCGTCGGCGTCGGCGTCGTCGTCGGCGTCGTCGTCGTCGTCGTCGTCAGTCGTCGTCGTCGTTGTCCGTCGTCAGTCGTCAGTTGCCAGTCGTAAGTAGTTGTCGTCGTCGTCGTCGTCGTCGTCGTCGTCGTCGTCGTCGTCGTCGTCGTCGTAAGTCGGCTACGCGTCGAAAGTCGGCCATGAGTCCTGTGGCTTTGCCCGGGTTGGGAGTTATCGCCCTGAATCGAACAGGATTTGAGGTGAACGGGTTCTCAGGCTTTTCACCGTTTGTGGGCTTTCCGGGGCCCTCCACGTACCCAAGGATTGTCAGCAAACTGCTCAGGATGCAGAACTGGTCCTCGGAGAAGGCCCCGAAGCCCAGAACACGCTTCCTCCATGCTGAAGCGGGAGGGGGCAGGCCTTCCAAGAATGCGGCGGGGCTTCTCAGAGGCCACCCGGCCTTCTGAAAAGCCTCCCCGAGGGGGGCAGGGCCTGCGCGTGAGGGTGGCCCTTCGTCGGCGCGACCTCTGTCAGGAGGGGAAAAAACCACACAGACACAATGATTCGTCGATTCCCCCGAAAACATGGGAAGATATGGGAAGTGGGGGGGAAGACACAAACCCAGAACATATGAGAAAACATAGGGAATCCTGTCACTAGCGTGCCCCAGGGCCTCCTTTCACTTTGGTGCGGACTCACGGGGGACACTTCATCGTCGATCCCCCCGAAAACATGGGACAATATGGGACGTGGGGGGGAAGACACAAACCCAGAACATATGAGAAAACATGGGGAATCCTGTCACTAGCGTGCCCCAGGGCCTCCTTTCACTTTGGTGCGGACTCACGGGGGACAATTCATCGTCGGTTCCCCAGGAAATATGGGAAAATATGGGAAGTGGGGGGGGAAGACACAAACCCAGAACGTATGAGAAGACATGGGGAATCCTGTCACTCGTGTGCCCCAGGGCCTCCTTTCACTTTGGTGCGGACTCACGGGGGACAATTGATCGTCGATTCCCCCGAAAACATGGGAAAATAGGGGACGTGGGGGGGAAGACACAAACCCAGAACATATGAGAAAACATGGGGAATCCTTTGGTGACCCATGTTTTCTGACCCTGAACGACCGGGCGGCTTCTCGGTTGCCGAATCGTTCCAGATTGGGATCGGGCCGGCTCGGGGCCACCAGCGGCGCTCAACCTAGGAGGAGGAGGAGGAGGAGGGGGAGGAGGAGGGAGGAGGAGGAGGAGGAGGAGGAGGAGGAGGAGGAGGAGGGGGAGGAGGGGGAGGAGGAGGAGGAGGAGGAGGGTCGCGGCGAGTCGTGTGCCCCAGGGCCTCCTTTCCCTTTGGTGCGGGCTCACGGGGGTCCCCCCCGCACCGGCCTGCGCGCCGGGACTCGGCCCTTCCAGCGATCCCCCTCGGGGCCGCGCAGCAGAGATCGCTCCCGCCTGGAGTCACTCAGAGTCACTCTCTCCAGGCCTCCAAGATTCGGGAGGGGAAAAAACCACACAGACACAATGATTCGTCGATTTCCCACAAGATATGGGAAAATATGGGAAGTGGGGGGAAATACGAAAATCCCCCCCCCCCAAAAAAGGGAAATATGTGGAATCCTGATATTTGCGTGTATTAATTTATGTGTCCCAGGGCCCCTTCAAATATGGGGTTCGAGCAGATGCGGTCGGAGGATCGCGCCGCATCACCGACGCGCCGGTGATGCGGCTCGATGTGGAGCGCGATTTCTCCACGCCGACGTCACCGATGCATCGGCGATGCATCGGCGGTGCGGCGCGATCCTCAGACCGCATCTACAGTCAACTCGCATAGTAAATATGAGCGACTTTCCAAGGATACCCTTGCATCCGTCCCCTTCGGCCCGTCTTTGGCCACTTTCGCTGGCCGCGCCCCGCTCGCAAAGTGTCGACATACATTCTAAGGCCCTTGCAACCTCATCGCGCGTCCTTCTCATACTGGTTGACTGTACTCCGAGCCCCTCTGGGAGGCCTCTGCTCTGGCGTGCAGCCGAGGAGAGGGGGGCGCCAAGGCTTCGGGGGGGTCTTCGCGGCAGCTCCTCGCGGGGGACGACGGCCTGCTGCGGCTCCTTCGAGGCCTTCGGGCCCCAGCGTCTCCTCCAGCGTCCCCCGCGTCCGGCCTGCACCGCCAGGGCGCCGCCAAGATGGGCGCGCAGCAGGGTAGCGGGGGGGGGGGAGAGGAGGGTGCCAAGACTTCGGGGGGTCTTCAGGGAAGATGTTGTGTTGAGGGCGTTCTGCGATTGCTCTTCGACACTGTCGGGGCCTCGTGTAAGTACGTCTGTCTCTTCCGGCAACTGCGCCTCGTCGAGAGCTTTTCGGGGCCGAAGGGATCGCCCCCCCCCTGGGGCCCAAGCTGCGGCCCGAAGGGCCGACAAAGGCGGGCAGGGTTGACAACCCAAACATCCAAAGCTTCAAAAAGCATTGATTACGGGCTTTTCGTTCGAGATGTTCAGCCGCGCCCTGAGGGCCGTCTTCGGGGGGCCCCAGGACACTCAGAAATAGCAGATTGCGGCGAAGAAGCGGTCGCGAGGATGGGCTCGAGAGCTTCAGAGGCAACGTCGAGCGTCGCAAACACAGTGTCGACGGGCCAGGAGGGAAGGCGAGAGGAGAAGGAACGAGGGGAGAGGAAGGAGGCGAGAAGGAGACTCGACGGAGGAAGGATGGAGCGCGACAGTGGGGTGGGGCGCGTGGGAGGAGAGTGGGAGGGGAGGGAATGGGGGAGGCAGGTGCGCAGGGCGACATGGCAGGAGAGGGGGAGGAGAGCACGGGGGAGGGAGACGAGTGGCCATGAGGTGGGGGAGGCGGAGGGGGGAGGCTGACATCCACACGGGTGCACCCCCCAGTCGGAGGAGGCGGGGGAAGAGACGGGAGGGGAAGCACGCGTAGGCGGGGGAGGGGACGGGAGGAGACGGGAGGAGGCTGGAGGAGCACGCGCAGGCGGGAGGGGGAGCTAGAGAAGAAGGAGGAAGCAGGATGAAGAGCCCCTCATCCTCTTATTCGCACATCTTTCTTTGTATACTCCTCCTCCTCCTCCTCTTCCTCCTCCTCCTCCTCCTCCTCCTCCTCCTCCTCCTCCTCCTCCTACCCCCCCTCTCCTCCCCTCTCCAGAGTGTGTCTTAGTGTTTGTTTGTTGTTTGTCATTTCTCTCTCTCTCTCTCTCTCTCTTTCTATATTTCTGTCTTTCGCTCTCTCTCTCTCTCTCTCTCTCTCTCTCCTGGCACACACACACAAGAGCACACATGCAACTATATGTTTAAACATTTTGACAACGTGGATCCTACACAATGAGACCTTGCACTAAATACACGGTGCAGGCTACAGTCTGTGGGGCAATCTGCGCGGTGCAAGCTATGTGGTACAGCTTGCGTGGTACAAACTGCGTGGTAGAAGCTGCGTGGGGCGTTCCAAAAAGGGCCTTGCCTTCGATGATCGAGAGAGTTGTCATCTCTTCCACGGCGGAAGGTCGGCGGAAGTACAGTCGGGGCCCTGAAGAAGGGACCCTTTTGGTTGGGGAGGGGCTCCGCGTTCCTGAAGTGTTTCAAAGCTTGCCTTTTCCCTTATGTGTTCGATAGGAAATCGAAGTTTAACTTATGGAAGAAAGGGGCCTCGTTCCTTATTTAGGGTTCCTTAGGTCAACGCCCCGACTGTAAAACGAGGCGGCCTCCGCCAACAGAAGCTGGCGGAAGCTCGGCGGAAGGCAGCGGAAGTACAAAACGTGCCCCGGAGAGATGAAAACGTTGTTGGATCCCGGATTTCCGACATCGTCCATGTGGTGCGATCCATGTGGCACAAGCCCTGAGCGCATACAGTCCGGGCCCTGAAGAAGGAACCCGTTTCGTTGGGGAGGGGCTCCGTGCTCCTCAAGTGTGTCGCAGCTTGCCTCAGGTGTTCCTTATGTTTTCGATCGGAAATCGAAGTTAAACTCATGGAAAAAAGCGGCCTCGTTCCTTATGTTGGGTTCCTTAGGTCAAGCCCCCGACTGCACGCAGGGTTGCAGCGGGCGGCCACCGGCCGAGTGCCCGGCCTGGCACACTCCGCCAGCGCACAGGGCGGCGACCAGGCGGGCGGGCGGGCGGCCACTGGGCAAAACAGGTGGCCCACTCGGCAGGCGCGCGGGGCGGCGACGGGGCGGCGACGCGCGGCACACGGCCGAACCCCCCCCCCGCTGCCAGCCAGCGCACGAGGCGGCGACGGGGGCCATCGGGCGAAGACTTGGATCGCCGAGCCAGGTGCTGGGAAAACTAGCGAAGAACCCCTCAGTACAAGCACTGCTTGCGACAAGACTCACGGACGGGCCTCCTCCTCCTCCTCCTCCTCCTCCTCCTCCTCCTCCTCCTCTTCCATCTCCTACTCTTCTTCCTCCTCCTCCTCCGCCTCGCATTCCTCCTCCTCCTCCTCCTCGCCTTCTTCCTCCTTCCCCCTTCATGCTTATGGGGGAAGAGGGGCCGTGTTGCTCCCTCTCTCTCTTTCCCTTCGGCGGGGGACGAAGTCAGGCGTGCGGCGGGATGGGCGTGCGCGCCCGTGCGGGCCGAGGCTCTTGCGGTACTGCTGTCCCTCGCTGCAGCTCCCTCCCTCCCTCCCCGCCCCGTGCTCCCCCCTTTCCCCGTCCTCCCTCCTCTCCGCCCTGCCTCCATTCCGCCCGCCCCCTCCCCTCCTCCTCTGGTGCGCGTTTCCTCCCTCCCCGCCCTCCCTCCGCAGGCATCGGGCCCCGCCCTGCGCGCCTGCTGCCGCTGTTTGCTTCCGTCGTCCCGCCCCCCTCGGGCCGCCCCCCCCCCCCCCCCCCGTGCCCCGTTGCATGCCGCCCCCCTCTCCCCATGCTCGCACCCCCCGCCTGCTTCCCTCTCGCCCTCGCCATCCTCCCACCATCTCCCCCTCTCTTCTGCTGCCGTCGTGGCCTCTCCGCTCTGCACCCCTCGTCCCGGGTGACTGCCAGGCGGGCCCACGCAGCGCGAGGCTCGTCACGGCAGCGTCACGGCTCGCAGCTTTTAGGTTCAAGAGGGGGGAAGTTGGTTCCGCTCATTGCCGAATTTGGTCTGCAAGCGCTCTGCGGTATGTCGCCAATGAGTTGCAGGTCGAGGCGCGGGATGCTTTCAAGAAGCAATCCGTCGAGTACGTAGCAAGAGTGGAGCAAACGATCCGAGAAGCTTGCAAAACTACGGCTTCGGCTCCCGATAAAGCCTGACGCTTATTATTTCAAAGGAGCGATCTCGAACCATTTGCAAGCGGAGCTCACGAAGGCTTGCGAGATCTTGGGCTTCGCAAGCTCAAGCTCTCCTTGTCGTGAAGGGGCGTACAATAAAATAAATAAAAACACGCGACAGCTACGTGAACCTCGAGTGGAATATGGCGACCGACGAAGAGTCTCCCCCCAAGAAGCGCAAGGGCAACCACTCCATCCAGTGTGGCGTATGCTCGACGACGGCCCTGGGCAGGAGAGTCTCACCATGCGGGCACCTGCTGGGCGAGGGGTGCTGCACGGATCAGCTGAAGCAGTGCCCCTTCTGCAGGGGCAGTGTCGCGGAGACGCAGGAGCTCTTCGAGCCCTGACGTCTGCTGCTTCTGCGGCGCGCTGGCGCGGAGACCACCGACGCCGTGATCCGAAGAACGACGCGCGGAGTTATTGGGCTGTCGCCAGGCGCTGGGCCTCCTTGGTGGCGCCTCTGGCGCCGCCCCTGGCGCGCTCCAGGCGCCAGCGAGGGGTGTCCAGTGCCGATCCGCGAAACCGGCGCGGACCTGCGAAAGGCTACGTATGCTCATGTGCAGATTTTTTTTCGGACGGGGCTAGGACAAGGAAAAATATGTTCCAGAGCGTTCTGGAACGCTCTCAGCGCGTTCCGGAACGCTCCGAGAAGGCCGCGGCGCCCGATACATCTTCCAGCGCCGCCAGCTCTCAGAGAATATCGACGCATCCTCACCCGAGGTTATCCTCGTCCTGGTTTCGTCGTATTCTTCTTCTCCGAGGGATGTGCTGGCACGGCTCCGGCGCCGTGCCCCTCTCACAGCGTGACCCCGTGGGCTCTCGCCACCTCCCAGGGACGGGCAGACGCTTCGGCCGCCAGAGCGGTCCTGGCAGGCCCCCATAGGGCCCCCGAGAGATTGGCCCCGTTGGTCGCCATGGGGGAAGCGGGTCCTGAGGGAAACGGGTCCCAGACAACGCATGCACGAAACATAGTATTGGCAACCATCCTGGCGAATAGTCGGTCTGCAGGCTCCGCCGGGAAGCATCACTTACAAGACTAGAGAAACCATGCGAGTTGTATAAAACATGCGCAGCCGAAGGGCACGCGGCGTCGCGAAAGTTTGACCGCGGGTCCAGGTGCTGAGATGGGCAGTCCAATCAAAATCCTTTGCCGTTTCCGGGCTCTTCGGGGCCCTCCACGGGCCTCAGGACTCTTAGAGAACGGCCCAGGATGAAACACTCGTCCTGGGGGAAGGCACCAGTGTCCAGGACCCGTTCCTGTGTCCCCCATGCTGGGTTGGTCGCGGGGCTGTGGACAAAAAGGGTGCCCGCGGCGACGGCTCCGCCACGCAGCAGGTCTGGGAGCGGCGGGCTCGTGCCGAGTCGACGCGGCGGCGACCCCAGCGCGGGCGCTCGAGGCGGAGTGTTCGAGACCCGAAAACCATCACGTCATTAATTTTGGGCCTCAGCGCCCACTGAGGCCCCAGGGGCCCCAGATTAGTAAAGTGATGTTTTTTCCACGTAAGGACCCCGAAATGCATCACTTCACTAAACCGAACCCAGGACGAAAGCCAGGGGCCGAATTGCTGCTGTGATGCAACATAGGTCTCGTAGAGTGCCGCCGGAGCCGCGGCATCGGCCGGCATCGGGCTGCCCGCGCTGTTGGAGAGCCGCGGCCGCTCAAGAGGTCGGAGGGCCCGCACGGCGTCGGAGAGCGGCGCAGAAGGCGCCGCGGCGCGAGCCGGCCGCGGCCCTGCGCTCGAGTACAGGCGGGGCCCTGCAGAAGCAACCCTTTTCGTTGGGGAGGGGCTCGGTGTTCCTTGATTGTTCTGCAGTTTGCCTTCTGTTTTCCTGAGGTTTCCCATGGGAAATCGAAGTTCAACTTATGGGAGAAAGGGGCCCCGCTCCTTATGTAGGGTTCCTTAGGTCAACACCCCGACTGTAGGAGGTCGGCTGCAGAATGGGTTTACCCTAAAATTCGCATGTTCGTCGAGCCTGCGAAAAATGTCCAGAGTTGTCGCAGATCTGCGAGCATGTGGCATCTCGTTGTCGTCGCTTCGGCGAGGGAGCAGTTCTGGGGTAAATGAACGATGCAGTCGATCTCCCACTCGATGCCTGGCGGTTTGCCCCTGGTGGTGGTGGTGGGGGGGGCGCCAGCAGAGGAAGACGGTGCCGCGCGGCGGCTGCCCTCCCCCCTGGCGCGGGCGGAGGCACGGGAGGCTGAAGTCAGGAGGGGGAAAAACACACAGACACAATTAATCGTCGATTCCCCAGAAAATATTGGAAAATATGGGGAATCTTTTTATTTGTGTGTATTTATATGTGTGTCCTGGGGCCCCTTCATGAAGGGCGGCTGGAGGGCAGCGGGGGGGTCGTGCTGCGAGGGCAAGTCGTAGCGAGGGGGAGCGGACCACGGAGGAGGAGGGCGTGGAGGAGGAGGAAGGGGGGGGTGGAGGACGAGGGGGAGGAGGAGGAGGAGGAGGAGGAGGAGGAGGAGGAGGAGGAGGAGGAGGAGGAGGAGGAGGGAGAAATGAGAGGGGGAGGAGGAGAGAGGAGGACCCGCGTAAGCCCAAACGCATCAACGATGTTGCAATGAACCCTCCCTCCGAGCTCTCTTTACATATGCCCCTACAGGAATTTGGGTTTCATCGAAGGAAGCGGCCCACTGGAAGACAACCGTCTGGGAGACATCAGCCGTGCAAAAACGCCACTCCTGAGATGTTGCGTTCTGGGACTTCGGCACCATGAACACCATTCCTGGGAGATTCCGGCACCGTGAATCAACGTAACAATTGCGTCCTGACCATCCTAACTCGCGCCAGAGCATTCTTGGGATTTCAACCCGTACGAACCTTTGATACCGTCGCAGGCTTTTGAGACGAATGCGCGCGGCGCTAGGGCGAGAGCCACATGTTGAAAATGATCCGCTCTCCATCCTTGAAAGTGTTGCGAACGTTTCAGACACATACGCGAGGCGTTAGGGCGAGAGCCACAATCCGAAAACAAGCCGCCCTCCATGCGTGGAGCTGCTGCAGCTGTTGAAGACGAGTGCGCGCGGCGCCAACGCGAGAGCCACAGGTTGAAAACCGTGTGTCGTCCATCTTTGAAGCCGGTGCAAGCGTGTCAGAATAAGGTGCGCGGCGCTGCGGCAAGCGCCACGTTTGGAAGACGGCCCGCCCTCCACCCGTGCAGCCGCTGCAACATTCAAGGTGAAGTACCCAGCCCGCCCAACCGTTTCGTCTGGGGTGCGACAGGGAGGTGCAATGCACAAGGAAAACGGGTGAAGGAAGGAGGAGGCGGAGGAGGAGGAGGAGGCGGAGGAGGGAGGAGGAGGAGGAGGAGGAGGAGGAGAAAGGAGGCGGACGGCACGGGCTCACTCCGATGGCATGCCACAGAAAAGAGAGGAGGGGGGAAGGGACGAGGCGGGAGAGGAGCGCAATCCTCCTGCTGCCCGCTCTTCCTCCCATCCCTCCTCTCTCCTTCTTCCTGCTCCTCCCCCCCCCTCCTCCTTCCTCAGAGCTTCTCCTCCCTTTTACCCTCCTCCTTCGACGCGGACGGCGGCGACGGTGGCCGCGGCGACGGCGGCGCGGGGTGCCGCCGCGCAGGCGCGGCGTGTCGCCGAGAGCCTGGAGGCGGCGAAGGTGCGGGGGGGCGCGTGCAACCGGCGGCCGTGGGAGCTCTTGCGCCCCTCCCCCTCCTCCGCTCGGGTGCTGACAAAAGTGTCCCTGGCCCAGGGTGATTTGGCATCGCTCGGACGTGTGCATCTTTCCTTCGGCGAGGACCATCGAGGAGCATCCTTTATCATTTGGCGAAAAAGCCACGCACGAAACCGAACAAAAACACAGGGAATGGACGTCCGAGCGATGGCCAGGGGGAGCGACTCGGGCACGCGTGCTCGACTCCACTGGGATTGGCGCGCAAGCTGCCCTCGCAAGCTCGCGCGTAAGCGCACTCGCCTCCAGCATAGTGTGTGCCGCGCTGGCGGCCCGCGCAGGCTGCGGCGGAAGGTCGCTATGCCATCTTGCGCAAGGCCCGCTTCTTTTCGCCGCGCAGGTGTCCCCAGGATTTCCAGGGAGGCCCCCTCCAGCGCACCGCCCACGAGGCCCCGAGGGCCCCAGGGGGGCTCCAGAGTGATGCGACAAGCTGGGGGCACCGGTGGCCAGGGACATCTGCAGCAATCTCCGACCCTCTCCTCCCGCCTCTCTTCTTCCATTCCTCCATTCCTCCTCCTCCTCCTCCTTCTCCTCCTCCGCCTCTTCCTCCTCCTCCTCCTCCTCCTCTTCCGCCTCCCCCTCCTCTTCCTCCCCCTCGTCCTCCTCATCCTCCCTCCTCCTCCTCCTCCTCCGCCTCCTCCTGCTCCTCCTCCTCCTCCTCCTCCTCCTCCTCTTCCTCCTCTTCCTCCTTCTCCCCCCCTTCCTTCTCCTCCTCCTTTTCCTCCCTCCTCCTCCTCCTCCTCCTCTCCTCCTCCTCCTCCTCCCCCTCGCCCTCCTGCTCCTCCTCCTCCTCCTTCCTCCTTCCTCCTCCTCGTCTTCCTGCTCCTCCTCCTCATCCCCTTCCTCCTCCTCCTCCTCCTCTCCTCCTCCTCCTCCCCTCCTCCTCCTCCTCCACCTCCTCCTCCTCCTCCTCCTTCTCCCTCCTCCTCCTCCTCCTCCTCCTCCTCCTCCTCCTCCTCCTCCTCCTCCTAAGCAGTACACCATCACGTCGAGGCTCGAACGTATGGGAGCGCAGGCGGCAGGCAACTACGGGCAGGAGCTGCACGGGACGTTTGGCCAACGTCTTGTATCCTTTCGGAGGTGTCTTGCCGCTGCTATTTCCTCGGGTGGGCGTGGTCGGTGTTTGACTTCCACTCTGGCTATCAAAGCCCCTGGTCTCGACCCTGGAGTGAGATACCCTCAGCAGTCCTTGCAGCTCTGGCTCCAACAATGGTTTGCCAGGCCCGAGATCAGGAGCAGGGTGCACAAGGCCTGGGGTCCCGTCGTCCAGCATTTCAGAGGCCTTCCCCCTTCTCAGCGTTCGAGGTGGGTGAGGGGACCGATGTCGGCTGTTATCCTGGGAACGCGGATGGGATCCGATATCGCTTGTATGCTGGGTAATGGCGGACGGGACCGAGTGGAGGTTTCTTGAGGCTGGGTATTCTGACATTTCTGCCTTGAACGACACGAAGGTTTTTTCCTGGATTCCAACAAAACATCGGAAGGGCTCTTATGGGCCTCTGCCAACAAGCACTACTGTGGGGAAGGTATTGGGCAAGGAATGGACGTGGTTTCTCTGCAGCGGCTTTTGAGGCACCTGGAGCAGTTACCGCGTGGGCGCCGATTGTCTGAACTTTTGTCCACGGTCGTGGCTGGGGGCTCCTGGCCAAGGCTCCGTCGAGCAGAAGCTTCAGTGAACGTCCAAGAATGTGCACTGTGCCCAAGATGCAGGACACGTAACGAGTCACCTTGTTCATCGGATATGGGAGTGCGATCATAATGTGAACCACCCAGTTTATGCTAAAATTGATGATTTGTATATGGCAGCGATGACCCAGCACGAGTCGGCTCCAGCATATTGGCGCAGAGGGGCCATGCCATCATCCTGGACGGTGGTACCCGAGCCGCCCCACGAGGAGGCGTGGTTCTGCACTGGCCTCAATGACGGAGTCGTTGACGGAGCGCTGGGCCCAGGAGAATGCGACAAACCCGTGTTGCTGTTCGGTGACGCCAGTGGCGGTCAGGATTCGGCAGATGCACGGTTTCGTCGGATTGGGCTCGGACTTACGATGTTGGAGAGTGAGACGAATCTGAATTCGCAGGTCAGCATCTTCGGCGCGCTTCCAGGTGTGGTCCAAACAGTACCCAGGGGTGAGCTGTATATTTTTTGGGTGGCCTTGAGAATCACCACAAAATACGTGACATCTGTGACCGACAAAAAGACGGTTCACGACGGATGGTGGTCCCAGAAGTATCTCTCTCTCCATCTGGAGGGCATTATGAGCTGTGGGCCAAGATTGAGTTGTTGTTCAGAGGCACCTCTCGGAGGCCCCAGCACGTGACGGTGATGTTTACCAACTCCCATCTGGAAGCGGAGGGCGTCGTGGTACGTCGAGCGGGCTCAGGCTGGATGGTTGCAGGCAACGCCGCAGCCGATGTTCTGGCAGGGGAAGGGGCGGCAGTGGCGCGAATCCCCGAGCACATCCGTGCCGACATCCTGGAGAAGGAGCGCGTGCTGTACCTCATCCGCATGCGGATCATCAGGTCTCACATCGATGCGATGGAGGCCGAGAGGCAGCTGCAGTCGAACGGCGACCAGACTGGTCGGCACCCGAGGCGAGGAGCTCGGGGTGCCAGGGTTGTGGAAGGGAATAGTGAGCGTGCTTCTGCTGCTGCTGCTAGCCCTCCTCCTGACCCTCCCCCCCCTCCTCCGCCGCCTAGCCTTGATGTGCTGACTGCGTTTGAGACGGGTCACGCTCTGTCAGACTGTGGCCGACGCTGTCTTCGGTGTCGCGGATCCGCGTCGGCTGCTCGTGTTCAGGTGTGGCGGAGGTCTCCGTGTTTCAGGTTGGTCGCCATCGACAGCTCCCTTCGTGCACTTCCCGAGGGGGCCACCATTCACATTGCTGGGGTGTTTGTGGACCCCTCCCATTGTATGAGATTTCGCGCTGTTTTGTTGATATGGTTTTGTGCGAGCTGTTGGATGTACGGGGGCCAGCAACTTTGCGGCTTCGGGAGGGCTTGCGACCCCCGCCCCACTGCGACGAGGAGGGAATACCTCGTACCTCCGCTTGATCCGTCTGGGGCAATGGCCCAAGGTTTATCGCAAGTCTGAATTGGCCCGTAAAGCCCAGAAGAGGTGTAAGTGATTGTTGGGAGGACTACGTCCAGGGACTCCAACTCCTCCTCCTCCTCCTCCTCCTCCTCCTCCTCCTCCTCCTCCTCCTCCTCCTCCTCCCTTTTTCTTTCTCCTTCCTTCTCCTCCTCCTCCTCCGCCTCCTCCTCCTCCTGCTCCTGCCTCCTCCGTCCTCCTCCTTTTTCTTCCTCCTCCCTCCTTTTCCTCCTCCTCCTCCTCCTTCCTCCTCCTCCTCGTCCCCCTCTCCCTGACTGCCTTGGGCCCGACGCCCCCCCCCCCCCCGCTCGTAGTCGGCAGGGGTGGGGCCGACTGAGCCCGAGCCAGAACTGCCGCGGAAGGGGGAGCTGGGTGCAGCACGTCGGTGAGCTGGCGCCTCTCTTTTTCTCTCCTCTTCGTTTTCCTCTTCCTTCTTTTCCTCCGCCCCGTCGGCAGGTTGGCGTCCACTGTAGCTCCTGGCGGACGCGGGGGGTGGGCGTTGGGCCCCCCCCCGCTCTCGGCCCACTGCTGGGGTTGCCCTAAGCATGGTCCCCATGGCATCGCGGCGCATCGGACTCACGATGCGCTACGGCTCTTTCGAGGGGGCAGGCAAGAGGGAGGGGGAAGCGTGGGCTGCAGTGGTGCGGGCATCGGCACGAACCGCCTCGGAGAGGCCTCCCCGGTCGAGGGGGGGGGCGGAGGCCTGTCCCGGCGGCGGCAGGGGCCGTGGAGGTCCGGGCGGTCTCGGGCCACGGGCGGCTGCCCCCCTGGAGGCAGCACCAGGAAGCCCCCAAGGCCGAGACTGCCAAGGCTGGGAGTTTGTTGCACGACCCGGGCCCAGGAGCGCTCGACCCCTCCCCCCAAAAAAGGGAGATAGCCCTGGCGAAGTACCCAACCCGTTCCACTGACGTGGAGACGGCCCACAAGGCCGCACAGCGCACAAAAACTCGTCAGGGGTTCCGCAGTGCCCTCGACAACTTCGCCAAAGAACGTCGGAACAGGTCGGCACGCACCCACGCGACCCACACTGCACGCGGGAAGTTGACCATGCACGCGGCGCGGAGCACGAGGGCAAGGGCTGGAGAAATCACATCGATGCGGGAGAGGGTCGCGCCAAAGTGGGAAGGAGAACTCATGCGAACTCCACCGCTGGGGCCTCCAGTTGGGCTTTCGATGGGAGCGCGAGGCGCGTGAGCGGTCTGCCGACATGGACCCGGGCACGCACGTGCACCCTGCCACTGGAGCCCTCGGTGGAGCCCCCATATGAAGCCAAGAAGCGTTTCAGGGTCTGCCGAACTGGGCCCAGGTACGCATGCGAACCGTGCCACTGGGGCTTTCGGTGCAGCTCCCTACGGGGCCACGGAACGTGTGAGGGGTCTGCCGACATAGACTCATACGCACGCGAACCTTGCCACTGGAGCCTTCGGTGGGGCCCCCTGTGAAGCCACGAAACGTGGAAGGGTCTGCCGAAATGGGGCGGGTACACACTTGAACCTTGCCACTAGGGCCTGTGGTGGGGCCCCCTATGGGGCCACGCAGCTTTTGAGGGGTCTGCCGAAACGGACCCGGGTACGCATGCGACCCTGCTACTAGGGCCTTCGGTGGAGCCCCCTATGGGGCCACGAAGCGTGTGAGGAATCTGTTGAGTTGGAGCGGGTACCCATGTGAACCCTTCCACTAGGCCCCCCGATGGTGCCCCTATGTGGTTGCGAAACGTGTAAGGTTCTGCCGAAATGGAGCGGGTACCCACTTGAACCTTGCCACTAGGGCCCTCGGTGGGGCCCCCGATGGGGCCAGGAAGCGTTTGAGGGCTCTGCCGAAATGGACCTGGGTACGC